TGTGTACATCCTCTTGCAAATTTGTACATTTATACTTAAGCGCCAATTAATGTGGTAGTAGCTTTCGCATCTGTATTAAACAAAGTAGGGAAATTATCAAATAAAAATTTTTGAGTATTTCTGGTTGACGTAAGGTCAAAGTATTGCCTTGTATATGTCGCAGTAAATCAAACTACCTTCAATAGCTGATGAAATCTGTTTTAGCTTGAGTCAAGGGTGCGATACTGTAAGTAGGTTTTGCATTGGTTGGTCGTCTTTCTGGTTGTTTCTTAAAGCTTTGAGATTTACCATCGATTGTTGAGTTATTTTTCGTTCTAGCAAAAGTAATGCATCTGCCACTTGATTGTCCTGACCTTAGACAAGTCGTATATCACGGATGAATTACGACATGAATTCAAGACACCGAACGTTGGTGTTCAGGATGCAATCCCGATGGGTGTTCATCATAGCAGATTTATGTCTAATAATACTAGAAACGGACATTCTAGAGAGATATGAATTTCTAGTCAGCACTAAGAAACGACGTTTGACTAAACTTCAAATTACACAAAAGGCAAAATACGTTACGTTACTTTTCTAAATTTGGTACAAACTCCGCCAGTAACAAGTGATAAGTCCCAGAATACACTCGCGGAATTTCCAAAACCCTAACCGAATTCAAATATCGATCTTCCAAAATTAAGCTAAGGGTAAGTCATACAAACAAAACTGAAGGTTCACCTGCGTTTGCTAGGCCCAGGAGATTGACACCAGATAGGATTAAAATCGCTAGAGTCGAATTTGACTATCTACTATAAATGATTATTATCCGTCTTTTTGATAGCGGGAGGGCATTCCTTCTATGTATGGTTCCAAAGGAAAATGAATGTGACTAGCGACCGTGTGGGGATTACAGACCCGTCATTTGTCAAACCCTACCAGATAAGTACCCGGTACGTGATATCCAGGATTTTACAGAAGGATTACAGAGCTTGAAAACATCCACTAAAATTGACTTGGTCAGGACATATCATAATATCTAATGAGTATCGGATATTCATCCAGACAGCTTTTTATTAAATCTTTTATCACATGTTGGAAATGTGCACTTAAAATGATATCACTCCTTTTTATAGCTTATTGAACGATTTATTACATTTTTTCAACTAAACTATTAGGATTTTATGCTTGTTATTTTCCCAATAACATATTCAAAATGTTCTGGTTAAACAACTACACGGTTTATTTCTGAATTTTCTACTGCTTAATTTATGTGACAGCAATTTTATGTTGCATATTATTTTGGTAGGTTTCTTTCACTAGATCTGTTTGGATATACGGTTCAGTAGAGATTGTTAACAACTGAAAAATAAGTGATAAGCAATGAACTTTATATAAGTGTTCAGCACTAGTCAAGGATTTGTAGAAAGTGCTCATTGGCGATGTTATCAGAATCCGAGCTTAGCATAATCGGTTTTAGCGACAACACGTTAGTAGTAGACTACTGGAAGTCTGCTTCAATTAAATTATGATATAAAATGACATCGATGATACATGTCCTACTTCTGATGAAGTTCAAATATCAATCACAATTTTATCGAAATATTATGTGAGGTTTTCATTCTTCGACGTATTTGGTCCAGTGTTGAAATGTTATGATTAAGAATTTTCAGTAAGAGAAACAAAAGCAATAAAATGGTGATTAAAATTTAAAATGCTATCAAAGTGTGAAATCGTTACGATTGTCAAACATTATGTGAATACAAGATTGATTGATTCGTCTGAATAAATAATAAACCTTTCTAGAACAGTTTCACATTGCTTAGAATTTAGAAAATCATTCACATTTATATATATATATATATATATATATATATATATATATATATATATATATATATATATATATATATATATATATATATATAAACGACTTTCTAAATTTCGAAACAAGCTATTTTCGAACTAAATACAACAATAATGTAGTTGAATCCAATGGTAGGCATTTCAATTACTTCTAAAGAACATGTAAAAAATTTATTTTAGAGTGAAGCTATGGAAAACTGTTTTAGAGAAGTTTACTATGTATTCAGACAAATCAATCAATCTTCTATTGCTACAAAATCCTGCTGATTTTTACTATTAAATTAAAATGACGCTTATTATTTTTATTGAAATTATTCGCTAGTCATGTGTTATTCCATAACGATTGTTGCGTCTTAACTAAATTTATGCCAAACAATTGTTTAAATAAAAGTTATAATTTGATTTCATCAATGATAACACGCATTAAAAAACAAATACATTTTAACAGTAAGGAGATTTGTGAAGATTGTGGCATTTTAGCAGTCAGATTCACGAGTCTCTCTAAGCTAAACCAGCGCTGGAGAAATAGAAACAATTGACGGCCGTTTCTTCCTAGTATGGGACTACTCAGCAGTGCGCATCCACGATCTTCCACGCAGAACACGAACCCGGGACCTTCGATCTCGCGTGCGAACGCTTCACCTTTAGATCACAGAGCTGGCATCCAACTGTGTTAATGTCGAACTTTAATCGGTCCATATTTTGAATATTAAATTAGGTAACTATTGACGGGAATATCTTATTTCAAATTACAAAGAAAGTAACAATTTCCAAAGTTTAAGCTATATGGAAGAGCTCGTTGAGATTTCAAACTTAGTTACCATTAGGTTTTGAAGTTGAATACGTAATATTTATTTAACCTTGCTTAAATTAGCCAGTTTGATAAAACTATATGCTAGTGAGTATTAAATATTCCTAACTACCAGCCCAAACCAACATCCGTTTTTCAAATGATAAAGTGCTATCTAAAGAGCTACTGATTTATAGTATTTACCTCTGCTTAACGAATATTATTTGTTATCAATAGAGTCTATCGTCAACTAAATTCTATGGTATACTTCTGAAAGTTTTAACAATGAAGTTGACAAGTTTCTTACTTTCTGTTATTATATTACATTCTAGGTTTACATACTGTCTGGTTCATAGTAGAGTAATCAAACCACATTATGTTTGTCTGTCCTTGGCATCGTCTGTCAATAACATCGCTGGTCACATGCTCTAAATTTGGCAATTCTGGTCATGATCAAATGTTGTGGGGGACAAAAGAAACACTGACTAATTAAGAATATATAGAGATAAGAGTAAAATAAGCACTACGACCTCTGGTTTGAAAACTTAGTATAAATGATCAGATCATTGTCTTCATTTGAATAAAAGAACATTCAACAGTTTTAGTCAAATGATCGAGATATTATTGATACCAAGATAAGCTGGTGTAAACGTCTCGAAGTTCACCATATCAGTCAGTTTAGAAACTTTCTTCATAGGGCTGTATCCATTTAGTAGTCTGTTCAATTTCACTAGGATAGAAAATAGACAGAACAGATTCCTATCGTTTCAACAAGGTAACGGTTATTTATTATTACGCTGTCTAAGCAGTTCACGAAAAAACCATAATGCACTATGTTAGCAACCTAATTACTATTTCAACATTCTTGACGTGCTTTTCGTTACTTTCGCCATATCATTTTTTCGTCTGCAGTGTAAAATATTAATAGTAACAAGTTATTTGAGGCAATGTAGAACTTCTACATGCCTCTAAATAGATAAAAATACATGCTATTACCCCATTCTATACTTATCAACTCGATGTTTATTACACAATTTGGCCCATAACAATATCAGTATGAGTTTCCCGATGTGAAGTTGGAAAAAATATTTTGCAATGGCTCGTAGGAACTTTATTTATGTGTATCTAGTACGTAATATTCACGCGGGTATAATGAAAATTCATAAGAACATCACAGCGTAACAATAATTTATTTATTCCAAATTATAAATCAAGGAGTCTTAATGAGCAATGGTTACTCCACTGAATTTGAAACATTGATTTTGTAAATTTTTTACAAATGGTGAACTGTTTTCAAGTAAATTGATAAATTTTAACTGATTGTTTGTAAGCAGATAGAGTACTTTTAGTCATTCATTCGACGCCATTGATATTGTCAATGGAATTTCACGCCACTCAAAGTTTTGTTTTTATTTAAATTGTGACCACAATTTAATCTTAACAGACCGAGCAATTAAGAACATATGGACGACCGAGAAATTACTGGTACGAAAGTATGTTAATGCATGAGTGTACATTCAGTAGTCTACACAAAGTCAGTAGTTATAATTTCATCTACCATATATCGGAATCACGATAACATACTAAGTAAAATTAAGACAAACTATACATATGACTAAAGTTATTTCCGTACCTTGATGATTTATAATTCCTTATTATTATTTACAAGGATTCCTGGGATTCCAATGAAGTGAGTGTAGTTTTACTACGTTCGAAATTAGACAGGTATTATCAATAACAATGGATGATGGTTATCCAACATCATGATCAAACTGAAGTGGAAATGTAAACTACTGAGTGACAATCCGATAATGATTAATCGTTTGAGATGTCTATCATCAAGTATTATTTATAAAACCCGTCCGCAAAAATCTGTTTATATAGGTTGAAAAGGCTTCTGTAGCAACCAATTAGAGCAGTAAACACGCAAATAAAATTAGATGGATTTTCAGATAATATAAAAGTAGATTATTCTGTTAGTTGTCAACATCAAGTCTGTATATTCTTTTAATGAACTAAATCTCACATAGTTATAGAGTTATGAAGGCACATCCCATTATCAAGAAACAGATTATTGATAGTCGAGTGTAAACTTTATCGAAAGCAACAAACAAGATTCAAATATACTCCAACGATTTTTGTTTTTAAAGATTAATATTCATTTCCAAAATCAGTACTGTGTGACTGATTGTCGGTAGGTGCAAAAATTATGAAGTATATTATAAGACAAATTCCGAATTCTGCACATCTCTACTTAGTGCATTATAGTAAATCATTGAATAAAGATAGTTCTAAAAATCCAAACTTAATACATCCTATATTGAACAAAATAATTTTTCAATAAATGTAAAGCAAAGAACAGTGTGCAAATGTATGTATCATTTTAATTAATTAGTAGATTCAAAATAGAATATTGTCAGGCTAATAAATTAGTGGTCGATCGTAATAACGCTGTTCAGTTATAAGAAACAAAGTATTATTTGTCGATACTAACATTATGTATTATTAATTAATGACTGACTTTATTATGTAGTAATTAGGAAAGAAAACTGGTTATTTATAATATTATTTTTGTACCAATATATCTAAAGCTATTTATACTGTATCACTTGGTAGATGAAGAGTAGTTTTGATCAATTCGTCATTTTCATTTTATGGGAAAGTGTAGTTGTATAAGAAAGTAAACACCAAAAAATGAGTTGGATACGAAAAAAATTATAAATGAACCATTCAAATGTAAGCAAGCTGGTACAATTTGTCTATAATTCTTCAAATCAGTAAAGATTAGACATAGATAATATTTGTTTGGACAAAAATACTGGAAGATTTAGTCTAATTGCAGTGGAATATCATAATAGAGAACACAGAGAGAGATTTCTCAACAATAACATTTTGGAGTTGTAAAGTAACGTCAACTGGGATTCTATACTTATGATTACATCAAAAACAGTTATATTAACACCAATTGATTTATCATGTATTATACCCGATATGTTTTATAAATGTACGCATCTAACCAACAGTTATCAATTAGGAGAATTAGTTAGTTACACATTCTTAGGACTAAAGTCAGTTTAGGTATTCTAAAGGAAGACAGAATCATCCAATATTACGAAAATTCATAAGTTGATAATCGAGAAGTATATATCATTTTTTTAAAGCACGGGAAGTATTTGTCTGTAAATAAGTTGATATATCAAAAATAGTAGAAATTGTCAGTAAATAACAATACGAAGAAAACAACTGAAATAAATAGAAAAAATAATAAACAAGCAAACAGACAAAAATATATGATTAACAATTTAAAATGATAATTACAAGTGTAAATTGGAAGACTAGAAAAGAAATAAAGGATATTAAAGGTACGAATAGCACGAAAACACCACTCAAGAATAAAGATTTAAGTTATCTACTTTGTTCTTACAACAACAATAATAATAATAATTTGCTCATTAATATCACAGATTGTGGTGTATTCTTTTTCGAAATACTACTAACCGGGTGATGTGTAATACGGTAGCAAACGCATAGAGACATAAACAACAAACCAGGCTTCTTCTTAGTAAAACACAAATGTACACAAAAAGCACAAATTCAACATGTAAATAATTAATTTGTTTTATCCTAGAAATTATACTAAACAAATGGTTATCTATTTCCTGTGATAAAAAAGAAGCAAATAAGTGAATGAAAATTCGGATATGTGCGTTTTCTTCACAAATGTTCACGAGGTAACCAAGATTTCATAAGATGATAATGTTTCATACGAACTTTAGCATAATCCTAAAAGAGAAACAATAAATTTAAAGACAAACTAGAAGATTTCAAAAATTAGAAGGATAATCGTGTATTGTATGGAAGCACTTTCTATCAAAGATGAGATTATTTTGTTCGCCGTCTCGTCATTGATTAACGATTTGCAAAAGTGAATTGGAAATTTTGCATAATAATACGTACATACTGTATTACAGAGTGATATGTATTTTTCAAGTGAGGACCGTTACATTTCAACTTCAATTCCCCAATACCATAATGTGATGTCTCAAATCATGTAGCATATATTGTGAAGTTCCAAAAACGCTAAACAGAACATTTCAAATCTGATTATAACTCAAGGTTTCTCTTGGTTATCGTCTACGTAAAGAAAATGAATAGATCTACTTAGTCAAAAGTAATTCAGATAGCAGCCTGATCACTGATTTATAAGTTCCATTCCATAACTATTTAGCTTTGATATGTACTGATACAAGGTGGACAGAAAAATAGCATGTTTTATCAAATAAAAACGGTTGACATTTTAAACAATAGCTGAAAAACAATACTCATTGGCTGAAGTACACTGATACTTTTAATAAGTAGCGTTTCGGTTACGGCTTATCATTATAGTGAGTAACTAGATAGCTCAATCGACTTTTTTCCACTAAGATCAGAGTAATCTATATGACAAATTGCGTCCTTCCTTTAATACCAATTATCAAATGTAACAATGACTAATCACATGAAAATGTACAACATCTACTATCTCATATCCTCAATATGACTAATCTCTGCCTCTTATATACAGAACAATAAATTATCTTAAAATTCAAGGAATACACTTTCATTATTAACATGGTAAAACATACATACCATGAAATCAAACTGAATACTTGATAATTGACTTTGAACAAGTGACCATGCAGACCAAAATAAATGTGATAATAATGAACCATAGATTGTTTCAATCCATAAATTTTCATAATCATATTCCTCATCATTGTGATTAGCAAATCGAACAACATTTTGATTATTATTATTATTGTCATAATTATCAACACAATTGAAATTACCATTTCTTTTATTAAAATGATCATTTTCTACATTTGAATTAGTTTCAGTTAGATATGCTTTCCAAAAAATCCTCTATATAAATACGTTTAAAAAACAATTGATTTAATGAAATCATACAGAAGTATATGTATATACTTTCTTGGAAAATGTTATACCAAAGTGTTTAACTCTAGTCAATAACTAAACAAACTCTATTTAAGAAAGTAATGATAAATCATTTGGAATTGATCAGCTAAATGTAAAGTATGATTTATATGTTGTTTTGAACTGCAATTTTTTTTATTACTAAATACAAACTGTACTGGACTACTCAATGAGATTATGTTGAAAAGAAGTTGAACCATAGTTATTATGAGATAAGAATTATTCATACAATAAATATTCTTGTATAGAAAGAATCCTACTACAAATACACCATATATCAATGATATTCCGATTGTTCACATACTACATTAGGTAGTACCTAAACAATAAACACGGTGTTAACATTTACATGCTATCAGATTTATCACTTATCAATACTATACATATCAATCTAAAGAAACATTCCGTCACAATTTTACAAGTAGAGATACCATAGAGAAAAAATATTTCCAACTGTAATAAATTCTTTAAGTTATGACTCATTCAAAGTGACATCATAAATTACATTTAACAGTAAGTGGTACACAAATAAACAAATAAATGCAGCAGATTAGGAAAAACAATCTATTGAAATCAATGGTATTTGTTTACTTATATTGAGATCATGAACCGATCAATGGTAGACCACCATTGGAAACCTGGAAGCACTAGACGGTCGTGTCGTTCAAGTATGGGACTCCTCAGTAATGCGCAGGAGTCGAACCCAGGACGTTCAGTCATGCGCGAACGGTTAGCCTTTGGACCACAGAACAGGCATCCAATGGTGTTAATGTCTAACTTACATCAATCAACTATATTGTGCGACCATTTTCAATTTTCTTCGGTGGGTAACTTCCTCAAACTCGACACGGTTGAACTCCACTGGTCACGACTTCTTAATAGAACTCCGAGAATTACCTCTTGAAGGTAGTCATTAGTGAACACATGATGGTTATGAGTATAGAGTTGTGGAGATTGTTGGATTTTTGTTGAGATTATGGGCCGATCAACGTTAGTTTTATTGTTGACAAAGTGAGAATATTAATTCTAAAAAACGTCTTAATTGAAAGTTTTCTATAAGATGAATTACTGATACCCTTAATGATTGATTACTGAGTTGTAGTGTCTGTCATTATGTTAAGCCCAAATACCTCATTATTCTAACCTTCGAACAGCCCATTCTATTCATTCTATTTGAGTCACATTCTGACCTTGTTAATTATTCGCTTATCAATGTCTTGACTGTCTTTGTATGAGCGCGTAGGCGTATGCACACTTCTTATCCCGTTACTCATCACATGTCTGTAATTTATTTTTGTGGGCTTATAAATATTGATTAACTCTTTGTTAAAGGGAGAGTTGGCTTACCAGCCATCTCCACCGCGCGCCAATTTAGCTTCGCTTTCTAATCTTCGCATCGTTATGTAGTCTTTATTGTTGACTGAATTTTATCGAATACGGACACCACTTAGTTGTTTACGATATAACAATCTAAACAAATGCAGTAATCTTTATCAGATGCACAGGTGAAGGATTCAGTCTAAATGTTCACACATATTTGTATTCATCAGTAGCCTTTTTGAAACTCTTGTAAGTTTTACAACATTCAAAACCATAGAAAAAAGTTAACATGGTAAAATGATATTCCACTTCACAGATAGCTTACATCATTGTGATTTTTCCATACATATGTAACGGGACGCTTAGTTGTTTCAGAAATAAAATAAACCAATGAAGAGATAGAGTGCTAATTTTTGGTAGGGACTACTTTTTCTTTCTTAAAAAAGTACAAGTTAGGTAAGACATATTAATAATCGAACAACACCGGAAAACCAAAAATAACTAACTTGTTTTGAACGATCTGGGTAATTTTCAATGTTGTAAAAATAATACGGTTGATCAGGGTTCGTGTAATCATAACACCACTCATTAAAATGATTCCCGACATCAAAAGCACTTTAAAAAAGGAAAGCCACATAAAAAATGGATCATCTGAGAGCAAAATATCACGGAATAATTGAGAACTAAAATAGACAAGGTTAAGAATCATTCAGATGAAGAAATTAATGTTCAATGGGATCCCCTCAATTTAGATTTCAAAGATTATTAAAATTGTTGCTTTAAATGTGTTTAACATAAATGATGTAGCATTTGGTTACATATGAACTAACCAAGAAAATTCTCACAGATCACAATGTCCGAGGTTTATTTTTAGATTGGTATATAATTTTAAGTATTGGACATAGTAAAAAACATAAAAATTATGAAGGCATGTGACAGTTTCTTTAGCAAAGTATAGGTCATAAACTTTACATACAGAAATTTAATAAGTTAATCGATTCAATCATCAGAATTTGAAAATCGATTTGCAAAACCCATAAAAAGTTGGGTCAAAATTATTAGCGATAAATAACAAGAAATGATAATCAATTATTGTATTTCATGTGACTAAAAATGCATCCTTTTGATCATAATAATTATAACGTACTTGTTAACATGATTAATCACGTTCATTGTTTATGCACGAGTGACCGGGCCCATTTGTCTACTTCACTTATTGACTACGTGGATGACCCAAGTTCATTCGACAACTGATGGCTTTTCCACAAAGCACTAAGATTAGTCGCTACATCAACTGAATCACTAGGTCATTGCTACAACAATCCGTAAAACATACAATTTGACACCTAATATTCTCTGCATTATTCAAACCTTACACATCTGATATGCTCGTTACAGTTAAAAATAGATCGATTCCTGAAATATTAGGCTTTTAGTATCACGCTGTAAGGTGATTTAATCTAAAAGGTTTACAAAATTAGTCAGGAAAACTTATTCCCCTATATTATAAAAATGTATATGGTTCAAAATAGTTCATAAACTCAGTAATAAAATTAGACAACATTGGTTAAGTACTTGAAGGCTACGTAATATAGTAGAGTGAAATATATTTCACTTCATTATACGTAAGACAACTGACAAGGTAGTTGAAGTATCAGCGACTGGTCTTTGTTTGGTTGCACTGAAATCCTGTTAATTTAAGCGTATACATTTATTGTGATCGGATGAAAGGACTTTTGGAATGAAACAATTAGAAGTATATATTTTATCAATCATTTAACCTAGACTAAGTGATAATCAGTCGGTAGGTGACACCTGTGTTATTCCGAACCTGGTCAGTGAATTACTGTCAAAAGTTCGGTAAACGTTGGTGATAAGTAAAGTTTTATAACTAAAAAAATCTGTTTTTGTAGCTCAAAGCTTTATTGAGCATTACATAGTATCCCTATTCGCGTACTGATCAGTCATCATGTCCTTAAGATGAACATTGTAAACAATGATGCAAACGATTATCAATCCATAAGTAGTAGGTAGAGACGAATTCAATATCGACAGAATAAAGTATCCGTTAAATGTGAAAAAGTTCCAATAGTTCACCTCTTTTTGAAGTATATCTTGATGTTATTTTCTAGCAAAACAATGAAGGCTTCATACCTAAACTATCCAGTCCAAAGAATGTAACTTCACTGAAAAATTCCTCCTGAGTTAGAAATCATAATCTCGACAGTAGATGTAACAAAGCTTGAACGACATAAATTACATGTTAAGACTACGTTTTCTTTGAATTCTATGACATGAACAACCTAACCATAAATAGTTTAGTTTTAGTATGTTATATTATATGTCAAACTATCAAAATGTCTCCAGACGAAGGATTCGAGGCATAAAAGCTCATTAATAATAATAAACTTACATAATGTATTAGAAGTTTAACAACTTCAATAAAACATGAAAATGTAAAAAAACAAAGTGTAACTATAATTTCCCATTACATACCGATAATTATAACCAGAGTATTCGAAGTCGATTGGTAGAATACGATAGACCTTTTCAACTTTTGGATCATTTAAAAGAAGTAGGTTATCTACCAGAAGAAAATAACAAGGTAATAATAATTTTGTATTAACATGAAAAAGGCGGGCTTTAGAGTCCCCCAAATGCCCTAGTATGAACGACGGTTGGAAGATTCCTCTCTACCGATAGAAATGCTCTCATACGGCCATGTGCTTATAGCTTCTGCGAGTAACGTCCTAATCACAACTTATACGCAGCAAGAGTGTTGTTTACGAAAATGACAGAACGAGAAATCCTAGGACCTAAATTGGGTTGATGGATATGGAGGATCTAGGAACTCTTATTCCAAACCATAATAGTATTTATGGGCTCCAGGATTCGGAGAGAACGAATGAAATGTGAACCCATTTTGATTACCAGCTACCAGGAAACTGCACATTCTGACGTTGCTTCAACTCCTTGTACATCACACCTTTAGATCAAGTGCTCGGAGAGTATCCTCGTAAGGAAACCACCGGCTTCAATTAGCTCTCTGCGACAGTATTCCACTCCACACACACAAATACGATGGTTAATAATTTAGAAAAAAGTGATTAGTAGAGAAACATGTAGAATGATGAAGATAATGTTTAACTGGGTAAAATAGAAAAAATCCAAAGATAATACAACACATAAACAATGGGATAATTGGTATGGATGTCGATTATATCGATTTATCTTATCAACTCCAAGTTGCACCACTAAATCAATATCAATATACGTTTTAGAAATGAAAGAAAGGGGAGTGAAGATAGTTGTAATAATCAATGTGAAGGAATAGGGCTTAGTTATTTAAGTACATGACTTGGATTGTCCTTCAATTCATCTATATCGGCTTGGACACCTTAAAGTTACAACTAGACAATACGGAAAAAATGGGCTTCGAAGTCAAATAAAAAAGAAACTATGTTTGATCACTGAAATGAACAAAACAATGCAAAATTTAATGCTTATGAGCGGTTAGATTTCTTAGATGATAGGAAGGTAAAAAGAGCTTACAAAGAGAGAGGAAGAAGACATTAACTTTAACTTGTGGCGAAATGAAACGAGTTTCGAGAATTTTATGGATAAAAAGGAGTTAGACAAGAAACGAGATTGTGAAGAAAATAATAACTGACAAACAAATTACAAGTATTATTTCACTAGAAAATACGATGACTTAAATAAGACGGAACAATGATCTAGGAGACATGTTATCTAGCATTTTCACCTTGAAAGAATAAAAATACAATTTTTTATTTAGCAATAACTGTTCCATATTTTATATGCGAAAGGATTATTGAAATTCATTTTAGCAAATGAAACGCCACTACCAGTAGAGAAGTGGCTTAATGGTTAAACCATCAGCTTTAGAACTATAGGTATCCGGTTCAAACCTCGCATAACAATGGGTTTAAGGATCAGGGTATTACCACTTGAATTTATACACAAAAGTGTGACTCTGAAAGCTGAGTAGTCAAAGATATACTTAGTAAATGAATTACATGAGTAGTTAAGTGTTGTAAAATATCCAAAAGGAAATCCCGCTCGACCTACGACTCGTTTTAGTTAGTACTCGACAACAAGGGGTACTTGTAGTTTTGAGACGACAGATGCAACCAGTAGGATCCGAGCTCTTGTCATCTAGCTTCACAATCTGAGACATTACTACTTAGACAGCTGAATTGCGAGTAACTTTCTGTAGAACTGAGACACAATTAATTGACAGCTAAATAGTAGTGGTCAACATCATGTTCGCCTAGTCCCTCAGTGCAGACTGACTTCTGTCAATCAGATTGCAGTGTGGTCACAAGTCTAGTTAGCATTATTAACTACCAGTAACACATTAAAAATTAAAGGTCATTTGCGGCACGAATATCTAATCGGTAAGACAATTGTAGGAGTCTTGTGTTATCGGACTGGGTTTCTGAATCCCCCCACATAATAGTTAACTTTTCGGTAAAAATGAATACCTTTATGTACTACATCTTTCATTTAAAATAATGAAATGTTAAACATAAAAACTGATTTGCTGTTTATTAATGTCAGAAGTTTTAGCATGTAAAACAGTAAGAAACCAATATACCGATTGAAGAACCAGCCTAGATTACTAAAATTTGCAATGTAACATTTAGAGAAAGGAAGCGAGAAAAACAAACAAGTCAAAACAATAACAAATATGATTCAAAAAAATAGTTCCTCTCAGAAAAGCAAGATTTTTAGAAAATACCACAAGGTATAAACGGTAATAACAAGAAATACAGCTTAACTCAGATGAGATTTATAGCCTGTATTGTACGTTATGTTTTACGATGAAGTCACGTTGTTGTTGTTCACACACCCCATATATATATATATATATATATATATATATATATATATATATATATATATATATAAACTACATTATAATAATTGTGAAACATAAATCTAATTGGCTTAATGCCAAAGCTTTGAATAAACTTTTTTCCATCTAATCTCGTGACACTGAAATAGTAGTGTAGTTGGTTTAAATGCATTTGTTAGTCTTACTTTGATCAACAAAATTTAGTAGTGTTGTTTGCTTTTTTAGGTTCAGTGTTTATGACGTAGTAAATCATAACTCATAGAAGAAAAGAATATGGATGCTTTTGGTTGCTATTTTCAGTATTTGCAAATTATTTACAATTTCCGCCGCTGAATCAGACAATTCTCATCAGTGGAGCTCGATTGTACGGAGCATAAATAAGGTATGCAACGCAAACAACGGAAGGTGTTCAATAATATTGTGCATCGATTGAAGTTAGACTCGTAAAACATCGGATATCGGCCCATTAACTTAAAGGTTAAGCGTTTGCATACGAAACTAAACGCCCTAGGTTTGATCGCCAATGGTGAGGTCGTGGGTGCACACTGACAACGAGCCTCACGCTAGGACAAAACATATGTCTAGTGCTTCCGAGTATTCAGTGGTTATTTAACTGATATTGGTTGGTGATTTCAACAAAACCCTCACTATAAAATTGCATGTTCGAACTCTGCCTCACCAAGTTGGGTTTAGACAACTGGACAGTATCACTAGTCCCAAAATAACAATGTTTGGGTCAATCCTGATTGTTTTAGCCTGAACGTGAGTTGAATAAACTCACAATAAATTCATGTATTTTAGCATCATATACTGCAAGTGAGACGTATTAAATCCTAAGGAACGGTGAAGTCCATCTTCACAAAGAAAGTTAATAAGATGGTACATAATGCTTTAAAACTCAAAAATACAATGTCTGTATAATTGATTTACATACAATTAAAGAAACATTGTAATTAATTTAAAAATATTTTTGAAGATTAAATAATAGACTGTTGGAACAGTCTCTGAATAAAATCTATTTATATATAATACTATGTAATTAACGCCTGAAAAGTATCTATTTGACTTAACGAGTGATCAGCACGTAAAAGACGTTCTTTTAGAAGCTATATCAAAATAATTAAGCTCTCATGTGTTAAAAATAAAAATTTCCGGGAGAGACTTAATTATTCAGATAACAAATTCATAAAGAGCAGACGAATATACACAAAAATGCCGTAACTTAAAGAACAGTTACACAATGAAATTTTAACAAAAAGAAAAATATTAGCCAACTTGAATTATAAAACTTGTGATTTGCTTAAGGGAACAAGAACAACAGCACTGACCTTGTTTCGAAATAAGTTTAGAAGATGCAATACAACCAAAAGATTTTAAGTAAAATAATATTGGTGGAGTCATCAAACCTGGAGACGGAAATATTCACAAAAACATCACTTCACTAAATTAAACTTGACTCACAATCGATATCGGATGATGAGCCCAAAGCTACGTGGTTATAGTCAAATACATATATATAATCTGGTAAATCTACGTTATCCTTTACAAAGCTAGACTGGAAGGTGCTGTGTTTAACACATCAGATGTTCTTTGATGAGTGATTTAGGTAACTAGCTCCGTAAGAGATAAGTCTGTTAGTCACTACTAACGTGGATCCTAGAAAATAAATGAGTCCGGTTCAAGTTGTCACCACACCACATCAACAAAGCGAGATCAGATTATCAAGACACATTCTAAAGCAGCACAACTAGTAACAGTATGGGCAATAGTAGAAAATGTTAGGCATATACAATGTGATTTAAGAATGAATCTGTGGAATAAAAAATATGAGATAAATCTAAAACTCAAGTTTTAAACGAAGATAAACAAAGAATACATCTATGCCATTGTGACAAATTCGAACCCTTATCAGCCATCTCCAATGGTTGGTCACGATAAGCATGTGGACCATTACCAGATAATTTGGAATTATCAAATGTGGTTCAGTCTAATAGTCGATGACGCAATTAATTGATCCCACATTCGGGTTTGATTCCCCAACCAACCAACCACTACATCAACAAACATACCACGTCGAGATAGGCGGTGGTTGAGAATACATACAAATACAGATAAATAAGTATGTCTTGGTTTGATTTATTCTTTACCTTGATATGTACCTGTGAATGATTAGTGTAAGATGATTACTATGAGTCTCCATATAATAATTGTTGTAGTGATTTAGCCAGATGATCTTTAAAAATATCACCCCTAATACACACTCATGGGGTTTGCAACTGCTTTACTAAACTTATCAGAAGACTAAATTAATTGAATATTATCTCTATTATTTGTATAGTAACGTTGAAAAAGTAAATACATTTACAATTTCCATAACACATTTAACACAGACTTAAAACTTATTTACAAACTAAACTTAATTGACTAAACAATTCGCTAAATTAAAAATAGCAATACGATGCTGTAAAATAAGCAAACGCTTTTAAGTGAGCAGCGGTTTAACGATTAGTTATTCTAAACCCCTGTGAAAGTTATATTTAATCTGGTAGTTTCATATGATACACATTTGAATGCAAAATTGACTTAATAATTATGAGTTGAATCCGCCAAATGGTGTATAATCGAACGCGGTATGGTAGGAAGCATTATTATTATTATTATTTTTTAAATACAACCCATGAGATTATTAAAAACATAAGAAAAACACAAACTTACTTTCTTGAAAATCATTATGGCAAAATACAATTGGGAATACTTCAGCATAATGAACTTCAAATTTTTCTCTGAATAAATAACCACGAATTGACAACAACGAGAAAAAGTAAAAAAAACACATTACTGATAATTGAGCAAAACATTTGTTTCAGAGATAACAAACTTGCAAAAACAATGGCATACATATTTACACAATCTGTCACACTATAACAAAGACAAAGTATGACTAAAGCATAGTGTATGCAATGTTAAGTTAATTAAACTAGTGGCTACAATGCAACTCGATCAATAGGACTCGGTTACCAATAAAGGAATAGATAAAAATGATACCGGTTACTAACAAATGACCAATCAACTGTAAATATTTCAGTACCACAGAGAATAGGTCGAAGCCCAGGTAGAACAGTGGGTGTCAGTCAGTCAGCTACAACGTAGGACCAGTGGGTGACGCAGGTTCAAATCCCACAGGGTGAATGACTTTCTTCAAGATTACAGATATGCCTTGGTGACAAGTGCCAGCTAACACAAAACTTAGCCTCCAACAACCTAACAGGATTAAAGTTAGTAGCATATACATATATTAAGCCTCAAAAACGACCTATCTCACAATCGCAGAGCTCATCATTAAAAAACGCTGGAAGCATTGATATAGATATTTAAGCTATCTAACAAATCAGTTTATAACTACTCAACGTGTATTGATTACAATTACTTGGGTTCCATAACCAACTTTTGTACGATGAGAATAACAACCATTTGTGGATAAAATGAATCCATTCCATTTCCCATGACGTTACATCTTTACAAACAGTTAATTCCAGACAGAATCAAATGGCATTGCTTACTAAAGAAAAACTTTTGATGATTGATAGAAAATTGATAATAACGATTCAATAGACCAATATATTATGCGCCATTATTTGACGCTAAAGATACGTTGATCACCCAATGAGTTTTTCATACGGGAAACTGTACCTTTGATATTACCATCTATACTATACTCAACTTTATTTGCTTCAAACACAAAATTAATTTCAAGATGAATGACGCTGAAAAATTTACACGTCTTTTTCATGCAAAATGGATGTCATACATGCATCGGCTATATGAAGACAATTCACTGATTTTAGTGAACAATAAGACTATTTTCTAACTCTCCATCAATACGTTGCCCAAGAAAGTTTTTGATAAGCCCGAGTGAACCTTGTAAAAAAGTATTCCCACGGACAACAAATACGAATGTTACTGCTACCATCATCTTATATCTCGTTGACACGCATGAGTATTACACTGAATACTTCAAGAAAAAGAATTAAATAACTAGGTGTTTCTTGTTTCAAATTTTCTTAGTTAGTACGGGACAAAATGAACATTTTGAAAACAATCAAGATTTACTTTATCCAATTATATTCCTCTATGAGAGATAATTCAAATACCATATTTCTAGCTTCTTCGTAGGATGGTTCCGTCAATATATGTCCATCATTTGCAAAAGAGAAACCTTTTGATTCTAATTCAGATAAAGTATTCGAAGAAAAATTTGGAGATGGACGATGTAAATGTTCAGATGTGCTTGTCAACTGACTAAGATATTTATCAAACATTCTTATTATGAATGATGGTGTTTTGGAAAATGGCATGGATAATTTATGGAAAGAAGCCATATGCCGTGCTGCTACTTCAATAATTAGTGGAAGTTCTTGTGTAGTTAAAGGTCTGGACTGAAAAGTTACGGCAAAAAGAGTAGAGAAAACTATAGTAATGTAAGATTATAACATCGAAATGTCAGCATATTGATAAAGAATAATTATATGCGAAAATATTTATTGGATACAGCATACACTGTACATTGAACGGATTTGGTAAAATGATAGAGAATAAAAATCCCTTAAAATAGAACGAATTCATTAACTTCTGCAAATCTTGCTATTGATAATACTCTTTATTATTCACGGACGAGATACACAATAATTTTGTACACTTTGGAGAATATAAAATCTCTTTTACAAAAGCTTAATCCTCCCCTTATTACTACCCACGTGGGTCAAGAATGACTGAAATGTTATGTTATATAGCGTTAATTAACAATAAGCTGCTATAATTCATAGAGCTATGGTTCGATCTCTACGTCGTCGGAGCAAAACATTAAACAACTTCTTTAGTGAAATATTAATATGGGAGTTTCAAGAAGTGCATTACAGAAACCATTATTTAACTAACAAAAGGCAATTAGATTAATTTTACCTCAATAAATTCTTCAATTCGTCCACCGGGAAATACACCATGAAGTTTAGGCCCAATCCTTTTTTCCGAAAGTAATGCAAAATTAACTGAATCAGAGATAATCGAGTCTGTACAACTTCTCAATACTTCACCATATACTCGAATAAGTACTTTACGTGGTTCATTTTCCAAAGAAATAATATCATTATTTAAATATCCAATATATAAATAATTGCTTAGTCCACAACTCCTAAAATGAAAATAATATATTTTAAGTAGTTTTATGGAATACAAATGTGATTATATTAACTACGCATTTCACAAAGTGATCAATACATTTTTCACATCAATTAAGAACAGTTAGTCTCTTTAATCAATCTAAAAAATGCAGTCAGAAGGCGAAGTTGATAAGAACTCTGTTATGTACTAGAGCAATTAATTATGAACAATTCATGTCTACAAACAATTTCTACTTTCAATTAATCTACCATTAACATGTTAATTTAATACTTCAGAATTGTGTGATCCATATCGTTCTACTTAATTATTTTTTTTATTTTCAGAAAGGAACAGAACCACCGTCCACTGCTTGCATGTTTTCCATGGTGGTCTAGCTTCAATTGACTCATGATTTCAACTAGTGATATTTTATATTTGTTTAATTTGACATTTACTATTTCACATATAAATAAATTAGCAAGTGTATAAGTGATCGTATAGTTCAAAATTTACGTCTAATAAACTACTTTCTCATTATATTACCTATATTATACACAATTGCTACCGTAAATTATGATGATAATTTCTGAAATAATCTAAAGTAGATAATTACACAGAATAACCTATTTTCACATAGCTTATTTACTAGACAAATCAGTCTATTTTTGAAATCAGGTTAAATAAGATTGTTATGACGGACTGACTGAATTGATAAAATACTGACAAATGACCGAATTGATTATTTTCCAACAAGATAAAACACAAATCTCAACAGAACAGAAATAACCCCCTCTCTAAACAAGCGAATTGTAAAGAAAATTAAGATCATCACTGAAAACTACAATTCACATTTAAAAAAGTACGACTATGAGTTAGTTACACGATATATGATAAACGCTGAAAAATTCCCATTATATTAAAACACAATTATATGAACGAAGAATATTCATTTCAATAATTTCTCATCACGTTCTACGATTATATATCCAAATTAATAATCCATAAAATTGGCCAGATTTAAGACAGTACATCATTGAAAATTGTAATAGGTGAATCAAAAATTGTTTATCATATCAAATCAAATCGTTGGTGTTGGGATGGCCGATACGATGTGTTAACTTGAATCAACTTATAAGTGAAATGAAATTGTGAGATAAATGTTCAGAATAAATATGGTCAACATGGGGTGAGAGAGAATAATGTAATTACAAATCGAAGATTACGTAATATGTAGAATAATATGAATTAGGTCAGATATAGTAGATAGGGGTGGATCCTGAATAAATTTCTTAAAAACGTCAGCAAGTGTAATAATAATGACAATGGTAAGATGTTTGGATAAGTTTAAGATATAAAAATGAACAGCTATCAAGTTACGTCACCACATAAAATCGACTAGTAACTAGTTGGGCCCGAAGTTGGCCAGGGTAAAAGGAGCGGCTGAACATATTTCTTTTGGATGCAAAACTCTGGCTTTTTGATCCGAACAGCAATTGCTTCAGCTGTCTGCAGGATTCTCAGTTTGAAGGAATTAAGTAGACCGCTGATAACACGATATATTATTGTGAAAGAGTGCTCCATGTTGGCTGTATGTCCTGTTTAAATTTAATGATCTAAAATGGAGCTATTGACAGTTTTAGCTACACCTTTGCTTAACCACACTGGGAGGTGCTCACGAGTCCGAATATACAAATTCCTAAAGCATTTGCCGATATAACTCGCTCCACAGGAGCAATGGAATTGATAGATACAGAAAGAAGTGGCTAATCTAGGAAATTTATCTTTCAACCTCGGAGTGGAAAACATTAATTGTAGTTTACCTGTAGTAAAAAGTGCTTTGGATTGATCTGTGTAACTTTAGTCTTAGCATTTCACTAGGTGCATCGCCTCTGAATTGCAAGGCGATGTAACCTAGTGAAAATAAAGCTAATCGAGAGGACAATTTATGTTAGATAAGTCTATTTACTCTATACACATTTCCGTTGAGCGATTAGACGTTTTTTCTTAAAAAAATATTCCTACTAATTCAGTTGATTCTGGATCTTTAAAATAAGAGAATGGTTCTCTTCACTTATGCAGAACCATTAAATTTAGAAATAAAAAGAAAACAGTTAGAATAACTGACATGCCAATAAAGTGTTAAATCATCAAAAAAAATTGGATATCAAGGATGTACAAACACTGAAATGATAAAGATTTGCGGCTCAGGTGGATGTTGTTGTTCAGTTCTCTTTGCTTAAAGGTTTAATCAGGGAGCCGATAATGTCCAGAACGACAATGAAAGCTTCACAATTAAACCATCTAGCTCAGAGAACTCGACAACAACATTACTACAATATACAGATGTTTGTATGCTTTTGAAAAGATTTTTGTATTTAGAGGAAACTGTTTGATTAAGCAAATATTTTTACTACCTCAACAAATCGGCCAGATAAAATAGTATATATATATATATATATATATATATATATATATATATATATACCAAATGCCCTGGTACGGCCGAGAGTGGGGAGAGTCCGCTCTCCCTCTCGAAATGCTCTCACATGGCCACGCGTATATAGCCTCTGTCAGGGAAGTCCTACTCACTGCCTTCTCACACCACGGGTGTTGTTTACGAAAATGAGAGGACGAAAAGCGAATGTCCGGCGCTTTAACCGGATCCCAAACCAATGGTGCACATGGGCTCTAGTATCCTGCCCGAGGGAACAAATGGCGTATGAACCAATCGTTGGTCACCGGCTATCATGGGACTGCATCTCCTTACGATGCCCCACTGCCTTGTGGGTCAGACGTTCAGGTCAAAGGCTCGGGGTGTGGCCCCCTAAGAAAACCACCTGCTTCGGTTTGGGCACCCGGGCAGGATCACAGCCCTCACACAAATCAATTGAGATTCGTGTGGCGCATATGTATTTGGTGCCTCCTTGTACCAATACCTATGTGTTAAAATAAAATAAATAAATAAACACTTGGCTTACTTAGATAGCTCAACACAGAAATTATTTGTATCAGACCAGCTTCCAGAGAGAATTTTTGAGCACTGAGTTTTAAGATGACCGACTATACTTTTTGTTATTTCATCAACTGTCAAAGGAATAGAATCTGGACATGGAACACCGTCTTGGTCATCACTAGATAGCGTAAACTTGACTACAGACATAGAATTCAATCAAAACACGAAGTTACGAATTTGAAATTTTAACGTTGTAGATATGAAGAACGTTGAAGGTGAATATAATTAACCTATGTAAATTGTAGTAAGAAACATTGAAACAGTTATTCACATTAGCTAAAAAATGACAAGAACTGAGGACTATTTTGTGTATTATGTTTTTCATCGGGATTACTAAAGGTAAATTATAATCAACCAAAACATTGCCTATAAATCAGCTACACAGACCATTAAACGTACAAGTCACTCACGAAATGCACATGTCCTCAGGCTGAAGTGATCGCAATGCACTTGTCAATATCGGGGTAAAATTACTTTCGCGAAAACGAGTGTAAAATAGCTGGGTTCATTTACACATTGACCTAATTACGTGGGTTCCGTGAAGCAATATTAACTTAAATTTATTTCTGAAGTACTAAGGAAGTTGACAACTTAGGTGCAGAAGGAAACTAGCATATATATAAGACGTCACTTGAACGACAATTTTTATTTAATCTTGATATAGATATATTGCCAGAGGCGATGTGTTCACAGATTGATTAATAATGAACCGACTTCTCGCCTATTTGGAATACGCAAATGACCCTGTTAGAAGATCTGGAATCGCCTAAGCACACTTAGAAACAATTCAAGACTGCCTAGGATACGTTCCTTTCCTTCCAAGTATAGCGTTGCCTTATGACTGGTTTTCGATGGAAAATGTTGACTACTTTACCTATCGTACAATTCTCACTAGCCTTCGCGAATTGGTGATTGACGAAATTTCGGAACAAATACGAAAGGCTTACTTAGGTTATCTTAGCTTGCGCTATATATGGTGCAGTGGATATATCTAATATGTTTGTAAGAGATCGCTTCATATAAAACACTACCCAGTATCTCTCCATGACCATGAAACGAATGTAGAGGATCTATGTAAAGCAAAAGTTTGATCATAGGTGTAGTATCATAAATTCCACTTTTTAATTAGATAAATTTTAATGACAATAGATATTATTACTGATTTCGGTTTTCACGTTGTTGGCTTCCTATACAAACGTAATAGTTTTGGAGTTAGTATAATGTTATTTTTTGGTATTATGTAGCTCGTTTACAGTTCCAACAGAATGAACACGGTTAAAAGTATTATGACTGCTCGGAGTTAACAAACCACTTGCTCACTGTAGACTTTGATAAAGACGATGTACTTAAGGCTCTTAGAACCTTAGAAATGAAAAAGTGCACGGGACCAAATGAACTACACCCCGAGATCTTGAGACACTGAACAATATATCGCAACCCCACTGACTGTGATATTCAATATGTCACTTGATTAAGGTGTGTTACCTATGGACTGGAAGGACGTAATCGTCACTCCCATACATAAAACAGGACCAAGACAACTTCCATTGAACCACAGACCTGTAAGCCCCACCAGCGTTGTAGTCGAAATATTGGAAATAGTCAAACAGACCGAAATGACATTTGTGGAAATCAATAACCTGTTAAACAGGGAACAATATGGTTTCAGGAAGGGTTTGTCTTGTACAACGAACCTCCTTACTACACAAGTCTGATTCTGTAAGGTTAATAAGTACTTCAAGTGGACTCACAGGTTTTAAAAGTCTTAAAAATTATCAATTTATGTATACAAGTCGTAAAACGTGACAATATGGCTAGACGGAGGACTGGTTTATAATCTTCATATAGTCCTAACCAGTAGGTATCCATTCCCAAGGTCACGTCAGAGTCGTTAAAAGGTCGTCCATATATGATAGTCTCACCGTGGGTACTTGTTACTTCGATCTCGAAGTTGTACAGCAATAGATGTAGAATATAGAGCACAATTAAGTGCATTGACCTGAAGCACAAGCAAGGAAGTGAACCCAAAGAATCACTAACCTGTTAAAGTAACAAACTGTGCCGAGCCATGTGATAAGATGTTTAAATAACCATAAATATTAAAAACAACCTTGAAGGGTCAAACAACATTTGAGATGACAGAATCAAACTCCAAACTTCTCTTAACAGATCCAGCCGACTGTTATCTCTTGAAGTTCATGTCTGGGCGGCGAGAGAGCGTTGCTGTCTATGTAAATGCATGACGTTTGTTATGCTTCTCCTGAAAACGTAGAGCGAAACAAGTTGGTTGAAAATAGAAGTGACCTTGGTGTAATACTTGAATTAGTCACTTTATGTACCAACGGATTAGCCGTGACCAGTGGAGCTAATCTGTGTCGAGTAGAGACAGGTATCCACCTCAGTACAATGGAAGATGGTCGCGCAATTTTGTGGATTGGTTGATGTTAGACACTAACACCACTGGGTGCCGGCTCAGTGGTCCAGTAGGTTAAGTGTTCGCGCACGAGACTGAAGGCCCTAAGTTTGAATCCCGATAGCAGGATCGTGGATGCGTATTGCTGAGGAATCCCACAATAGGACGAAACGGCAGTCCAGTGCTTCCAGGTTTCCAACGGTGGTCTAACATCAGTCGATTCATGATCTCAATCGAAAACTTAATAATCTCCACAACCCCAATACTTCTGAAAGTCTTTAACATTGATGCTGACCTCATTAGTTTTACTGGACACATCTAGCTGAAGGTACTCAGGAACACACCCGGACCAGAGCGCGAGCGAGTACGCAGTGCTACGCATCCCTTACAACTGTTAAGCAACTCAAACTAGACGCTTCTCGATATATAGATAGCCCTCGAAATATATCTTCGATTTTATTCATTTGTGACATCTAATTAGACTTGGTTCGCATATTTCGATCATAAAGGTGTTACTGGTAGAGATGTTGTAAAACGCCGATTATATGTAGCATAAATGTATCTTTGTGCTATTCCAACTGCCAAAAACTCATCTAAGTAACAGATGAAGAACTCGGTTGTAGTGGTAAATAAATCCCCAAAATCAATAGCTCTGTATGTCTTCGACATTGGATGCTGACCACATTAGTTTTAATGAACTCATTTAGCTGAAGGCGCTCGGTCATGCATCCGCATCAGATCACGTGTGGGAACACCGTGCTCAACATCTACTGCAATCGCTAGCCAGATTAGACCAGACGATCCTCGATATATTGATAGCCTATCAAATAGATCTTCAAACTTCCTCGCTTCTGTCTTTTGATTTCACTTGGTGGGTACGCTTCATATTAGGTGTAACTGGTTAAAGCATTGTCAAACTCTGAATATATGTGACATTCTTCATTGCTGAGCTTGACGTAATCTGGTACACCGAATTGCAAGCTGTGAATGTGTTCCTTTTTGGAGATTTTATATATCATTACCTTATTTTAATTTTTTATATATCGTGACATTTTTTCTGCGTTTTTGGATATGTATATTTCTCACTCGCTCATTCTCGTACTTGATATTTCCCCATGACTGAACAGACAGCCAATGTACTTAAGTTGAAGACTATGTCCCCGCCTTCGTTCCAACTAATACCCTTCTGGCCAGACAAAATCGAAGCGTGATTCTGCTACACAGAAGCCGACTTCTACGAGCACGGCGTGGACGACACGTGTGTACAATTCCTTGCAGTAGTCAAAGCACTATCGCGCAAATTCAACAGGTATGCAGCACATTGTATGTTTACTAATGATGTTTCAGAACCCTACGAAACACTTAAACGATCTATCCTTAAACGCGAAGATCTAACAGATCGACAAAGGTTAGACCAACTCCTTAATAACATCGACCTGCAACACGGTTCTGCAACATGTCTGTTGCAGAGAATGAGAGAGGTTATCGGCCAGAGAACCTTCGATGATGGCCTGTCCAAACAACTTTTCTTATCCAAACTTCGTCAACAGGTGCAAACTGTGTTGGTCTCGTTTCAAAACAACGCCGTAGACGAGCTGGCTGCATCTGCACTCCGCATCCTCGAAATCACAAAATCTAATGCCTATCGCTACGCATGGTAAAAGTTAAGTTTTATTTAACGTGGGTTTACGCAAACACATTCACTGGATCTTTGTTGTTGCACATGATTCTATGTCAATCATTGATATGGACCCCCTTCAGCATCACAATTTAATCATCGATACGCGCAAACGGAGGCTGGTAGACGGAAATACTAATTTATCTGTTTGCGTACCTTCTTTTTCTGGTTGCAGATTATGTCCAGTCACAACTAAGCACACGATAGACTCATTCCATCAACCACTACTCGATAAGTATTCTGGGATATACCTATCGCAACCGAATTTGCCGTGTGTAACCAGCAACGTTACACATCGCATCACGACCACAGGACCACCTGTATTCTCTAAAGCACGCCGACTGGTCCCCGAAAAGTTAAGGTTGGCGATAAACGAATTTGACCACATGATAAACTTAGGAATCATACGACCGTCAAATAGCCCATGGGCATCTCCGTTGCACATGGTCCCTAAAAAGGACAGCAACGATTGGCGTCCAACTGGTGACTATCGGAGATTGAATGCAAAGACCATTCCTGATCGTTACCCGTTGCATCACATTCACGATTTGACAGCTACCTTTGAAGTGCGACTGTCTTTTCGAAAATCGACTTGATTAAAGCGTATAACTAAATCTCTATGGCCATTGACGATATTCCGAAAACCGCTATTACAGCTCCTTTCGGACTTGACGAATTTTCGCGAATGCCTTTCGGCCTAAGGAATGCTGCCCAAACTTTCCAAAAGTTCACAGACGATGGTTTTAGAGGTCTCAACTTCGTACATGCGTATGTTGATGACTGCCTAATAGTTAGTCCGGACAGAGAATCATATCTCCAGCATCTGGATCTTGTTTTCGACCGACTACGGAAACATGGCAATACTGTAAACATTCAGAAATGTCAAATCGGAACTGACCCATTGGACTTCCTAGGACACATTATCGATGCGCAAGGCACCCGACCACTTAGAATCAAAGTGGCACCTATTCTGGACTATCCAGAACCGACCACCATCAAGCAATTGCGCACGTTTAACGGTCTGGTAAGTTTTTATAGACAATTCATGCCAAAATGCGCGTCCCTTATGAAACCTCTTGCCGACCAACTTAGTGGAAATGCGAAATCCATCAATCTGGACGACACCGCGCGAAAAGCATTCCACAAAGTTAAGGAACTTATCTCTCAAGCAACAATGCTTGCTCATCAAGACACTGAAGCACCGACTAGTATCGCAGTAGACGCATCCGACTCAGCAAACGGAGCAGTCTTACAACAATAGGTTAACCACTTGTAGCAACCTTTGGCATTTTTATTTAGACTGTTACTAGACACTGAATCGAGGTACAGCACATTCGGTAGGGAACTTCTGGCTATGTATTGTGCTGTACGACATTTTCAACACTATATCGAAGGCTGTGAATTCACCCTTTTTACTGACCATAAACCCCTTACTTTCTCTTTAAGCTCATCTTCAGACAAGTACTCACCTCGTGAGTCTCGACAACTGGACTACATTTCGCAGTTCACTTCAGAATTTCAACACATTTCTGGAGCAAACGATATAGTCGCAGACGCCTTGTCTCGAATAACTTCCTTGAACAGTTTCCAAGGAATCGATCTTCTGCAACTCGCCCAGCTTCTAAAAGAAGACAGTGATCTTCAGCACGAGTTGGCCTCAACAAAACTTAAACTGCGCATCAAACAGATGGGAATAGGTAAGGAAACCTTACTGTGTGACACATCTACAGTTAGGGATCGCCCAACCGTGCCGAAACATTATCGACGCAGCGTCTTCAATACGTTGCACAAACGTTCTCATCCAGGTGTTCATGCAACCAGCAAGCTTATAGCTAGCCTGGTATGAATAAAGACGTGAGGGAGTGGGAACGCTCCTGTGTAAGCTGACAGAAATCTAAGGTTATCAGACACAACAAATGTCCCATAGGCTCATCTAAAACTCCCGACGCCCGCTTCGACCATGTTTAATTGGACTTGTTAGGACCTTTACCAGATTGAAATGGATATTCTTATCTCTTAACCTGCGTAGACCGTTTTACTCGATGGCCAGAAGCAGTATCCATCAAGGACATCACTGTTGAAACAGTGGCCCACGCCTTCGTCGAACGATGGGTAACAAACTTCGGCTGCTCAACAATCACTGCAGATTGTGGACGCCAGTTCGAATCTGAGCTTTTCCATTGTCTGACCACACTGTTAGGAACCACTCGCTTCCGAACGATCGACTACCACCCACAAGCAAACGGGTTAGTAGAACGCTTTCACCGGCAACTAAAAGCTTCACTATCAGCCGCAAACATTTCTCAGTGGACTGACGCACTTCCACTCGCCTTACTAGGTATTCGCAATGCAATGAAAGTTGACATTAGATACACTGAATCTCAACTCGTTTATGGAACGACACTTGGACTTCCAGGAGCATTCGTGGATCTTTCATCCTCTTTAAGAAACATGGATCTAAACTCCTATACAAACAGGCTTACAAACGCAATGCGTTCAGTTAAACCTGTTTCCATTCGACCGCAATCAACTGACGTTTTCGTTCAACCTGACTTACAATATAGTACACACGTCTTCGTACGTCGAGACTCGCATCGACGACCTTTCGAATTAGCATACGAAGGACCATTCAAAGATTTTCAACGCGAACCCAAGTACTATATAATCGATAAGAACGGAACCAACGAAAGCATCAGCATCGATCACATCAAAGCAGCGTATTTAGAAGAATATCCTATACACGTCGATTTTCCTTCGGTACAATCGCATGATAAGTCTCTCACACTTACAATACCATAACCGACAGACAACGTACACGATGGTACTTCGGCGGTATCAGAGAAAAACTTAAAACAACCCGTTCTGGAAGGAGAGTAAGATTTCCAGAACATTTGGGTGGTTACTGCACGTGAGATACAAGTTTACATTTTATATCGTCTCGATTTTCCCTTGTACTGTATCTAATTAAAAAAACGAAATTTAGCATGCTTATATATTTATATTTTTATTC